CGTCCCGTAAAATTAAGAGACTTCGTTGAATTTTGATTTTGTGTTTGTAAATTCTGTACATTTATTTTAAGTTATTGTTAATTGTTTATTGGTTTAATGTAAGTGGCTATTGTTCGGGACGAACAATACTAAGGAAGGGGCAGTGTTACGACAGCGGGGGTCACGTGACGCTAGTAACACGTCATATTCTCGAACTTTCACGTCCCTTCCTGAAGTCTCGAGAAGTTACTAGATATGCGGTATTCTTGTATATATAAGACTGGTAAGAACTGATGGCAACAAGGGAGTGTAATTGAACTGCAGACAGAGATAGATACGGACAGTTGAGTCGAGCACGTGAGACGTTCGTTGTGAATTATAGCATCTGTAATAGCGCAACTGTGGAAATTAAGTGTATTGCAAAGTTGTATTCAGAAAGAATAAACCAGTTTTATTTAAGAAAGGACTTGTATTGCTGAAGTTTCTTCGGAAAGAATTTTTACGAAAAATTAACTAAGGACCAGAGATGTAACAATAGGAAAAACATAGAACTAATATCAATAAAGATTTGAGCCAACAGAATAATTTCAGTCACCTGCCATACTTACTATAGAGTAAATTTACCTTATCTAATTTTATGACAATTTGATTTCATTTGGGGAACACAAAGAAACAAGAAAACTATTCTTTACACATGTTTTAACTTAAAAAAATATATATATTATATGTACTGTAATTTTGAACAAAAAAACAACCATCAACATGATATCTTTATTAAATCTTAAGAATTCTCCAGTCATGTGATTTCTTTGTTTCATAATGTATAAGTATATTCCTGTATCTAGATAAACTACTCGTACCTAATGATAACAAGATTTTCTCTAAACATCTAATAGTTTTCTTTATTACCCATTCCACTCATATATAAGCTATATATGAGCAACACTTATTTCAAATTATGTCTTCTATTTGAAGAAAATTTCTGTAGCTTTCAAACGGACACAATTTACATACAAATATTTTCATAATTGACAAACAACAGGAACATTTACAAGAACTATACAAAAACAACTCTTAAACCTACACATTTACTCTTTTATGATATGACAGTCTCATTCTTGCTCTATTCAATCATATTTAAACTTTCTTTACAGTTGTTTTCAAAGTTATGTGTCATTAGTAAATGTCATGATCACGATCACGAGACTTCGACTCTGACCATGATACCTCCCTGTAAGCAGACTGTCCCCTATCCAATGCCGCCAGTAATTATCGACGGACTACTGCTCGACTTCTCGCCGCGAGACACCTCCAACTATATCCACTGCTACAAACCCCAAGCCCACGTATTGCCTGAGCGCACCTGTTGTCTCTGCAAGGAAGGTTTACTCCTCCAGCCCAGGACACCCAAAGATCTCCATTAGGTAATGAATAAGAATAAAACTTGAAAGTGTATTCAGATAATATAGTGTTATTGTGTTAACAAGTAACAATGTCTAACTTCTCCATGCTAGCTTAAGTAATGATTCATTTTTACAACGATGGTATGGTACCAGTTAAATTTTTAAAACTAACACTGTAACCAAGTTTCCAATAATTTAAGTTTACTCAGTGTTTACAAGTATTTAAGAAAGCAGCCATTATTATAAATCTTAAACTAGAATAAATATACACATCATACATTTAGGAAAACTCAAAACAGATTTTTCTGTACAATTTTGTTGTCATAAGTGTGCTATAAGAAAATATCATTTTCAAAATGAAACACAAAGTTAAAGATTTTTTCTGCGAGAGAGAAGTGTATACATTTATCACATTACACAGCTGAACATATTGACTCTTAACTAAATATGAAGCTGGTTATGTGTATACAGTAAAAATACTCAGCAACCACTACAGTAGGGATGAGCAATTGGAGATATTTCCAATTCAATAATCAATTATTAGTGTTCCTCAAACAATGATACCTACAAGTAAAAAAAAACAATGATGATGGACACATCCAGCCAGCTTCCTGTAAGCAATTTAACAAAAAATAATAAAGGTTGGCAGTGGGTACTTCCAGCCAGTTTCCTTCACTCCTGTCAGCAGTTTATCAAAAAATAATATAGAAAAGGGTGGTGGCGAGCACTTCCACCTAGCTGCCTTCCCTTTTATAAGCAGTTTAATAAAAAAAATATAAAAGGGGTGGTGGTGGGTACTTCCAGCTAATTGTCATCCTTCTTATAAGCAGTTTAATAAAAAGATATAAAAGGGGTGGTGGTGGGTATTTCCAGCTAGTTGCCATCCCTCTTGTAAGCAGTTTCATAAAAAGAATATAAAAAGGGTAGTAGTGAGCACTTCCAGCTAGTTGCCTTCCCTCTTGTAAGCAGTTAACTAAAAATAATATAAAATAGGGTGGTGGTGGGCACTTCTAGCTAGTTGCCTTCTCTCTTGTAAGCAGATTAATTAAAAAATATATATAAAAAAAGGTTGGTGGTAGGCACTTCCAGCTAGACGCCTTCCCCCTTCTAAGCAGTTTAATGAGAAAAATAATATAAAAAAGCTTGGTTGTGGGCACTTCCAGCTAGTAGCCTTCCCTCTTCTAAGCAGTTTAATAAAAAGAAATTATATAAAAAAAGGTTATTGATGGGCACTTCCTGCAAGGTGCATTCCCTCTTAAAAGCAGTTTAATAAAAAAAATATAAAAAAGGTTAGTGGTGGGCACTTTCAACTAGTTGCCTTCCCTCTTGTAGGCAAAAAATAATATAAAAAAGGGTGGTGGTTGGTGCTGCCACCCATTTGCCTTTTCTCTTGTAAGCAGTTTAATAAAACAGATAATATAAAAAAGGTTATTGATGGGTGCTGTCAGCCAGTTGCCTTTCCTTTAGTCAGCATTTCAAAATTAATGACAGTGGCAAATAACCTTAGTAACTTTTCTATAATAAAGATAGGATAAACACACCCAGATAATTAGAATAATTGAAAATAGTACTAACCATAAAAGCTAATTTCAATTAATCAATTAGTTTAAGTGACACTAATTAATGTTAACTGCTGCTCGTGGGTAATCAATTATACTAATTAATTGATTAAGTCACTCAGCTCTACTCTACACTGGTACATGAACTGAACAGATATCTTTCAAACAAAATTTCTTAGACTAAAAATTCATGGATAACATTCAATAAACTGTGATGAAGTATGAACAACCGATGAAGTAGCTCACAGTGTATTTGCACAACAGTTTCAATGTATATCAAAATACCTGACTACTGACTAAGGCTGAAGAGATGCAATAAAAAATTTATGGAAGGTAGCCTAAAAAACTGATACTCAATGACAGTGTTTTAAAAGTTCATGATAAATAACAAAATGTCCAACAGCTAAATGTATGTTCTCACTTAAATGATAAGCTTTTATGGTTGGAAAACATTGTTAGCATTGATTACATGCCCAACTAAGAAAAAAATAGTTTCGTTTTGAGTTTACTTACTAATTATAAGTATTATTTTATTACATATTACAGCTTTTACAGTAAGGAAGAGTATTTTTTAAATCTGGTATGATCATTCTTAAGTTCACAAGTTTTAATGTCATAACTGTTTTAGAAATATACTTCCTTACTGTAAAACCTGTAACTTGTAATAAAATAGCAAGAAATATACTTATTTATCTATACATGTTTCTGGTTGACAACTTGCATCAGAGTTAAATAAGTGTTAAAAAAAACAAGATTTAAACTTCTTAATCTGCCAATGTTTCTGGTTGATGGTTTACATCATACTCAAAATGTTTGATCAAAAAATAATTTTTCCATCGACACAATCAGTACATCTACATAAAAAAAACACATTTTCAAAGCTACTAATTCACAGTTTATGAAAATTCCTAAAAATGTAGATATTTTAATGATTAAACAAAACTTACAGTTTTTGATGGGATGTTACTCTTATCTTTTGAAAGCCCAAACTTCAAGATATTTGTAATAGTTGGAGGACGCCATGTTGGCCACGGATTTTGAAATCTTCCATTAATGCAAAGAGATCGTTGAAGGTCTACTCTACCAGGATGTACCACTGAATTTCTTTTGATGGTAGGACTAGTTTCTCCATCACTAGCAACAGAAATGTGATCACTAATGCTTAAAGAAGAGACTTCACTAGTACATGGTACAGCACGGTCGGTATCCACATCAAAATCTAGCAGTTGGCTTTTGCCATGAGCATTATCACTATCATAGGTAAACTTATCGATTCCAGTTGAGCAAATGAGAGAACTTCTCCTAATTAACTTTCTTTCACTATTACTTGAAAGATCGGAACTAGAATCAGATATTTCAGGGGGAGTGTTCAGCTCTGAAGAAGCACTACCATTTGTTAGTTTTACAAATGTTTCTTTTCCTCCTTTCTTAGTCATCCTCAAGTCCAGTGATAACTTCTTATTTTTTGTGGTCATTTTCACATAAATTCTCAACTGTCCGTGACATGAACTACAAAGAATTAATAAGTAGTATCTTGTACTAAACATTGTTATGATAAAATTCTCAACTGAACGTGACAGAGCTACAAATAGTTCGTAAGTATCAGCTTATATTTTGTACATTTATGGTTAAAATTTAAAAAATAACTCATAGTGAAACCTCTAATTAAAATTTATAAATTTTTCTGTTCAATTATGTTGAATTAATACACCATACTATGTTTAAACCACATATAAAAAGATTTAAATAGCTGAAAAATTAAGAAAGAAAATAAAACAAAGAAAAAAATTATATGACAGTTTTAGAAAAAAAATCCTGAAAAGAAGTACATTTTGTATTAGTAAGTATTCCTTTTCTTACACATTTTACAGGATATGCAATCATGAAGTTCTTTTGTTTATACAAGGAAGACACTTTTAATAATATATCAAATTCTTTACTGAATGGTATTCTCTTTTAAAGTACATAAATTATTTTTAGTTTAAATTCTGGAAATGGTCATCTTCAGTTCTTGTAAACACTGTCTTAAATGTTTGATAAAACTTGCACACTCATAAGTAAGCTTTTGGTCAGTACATGGCAAAGCAGTACATATACACTCAATAAATTTAGAGATATACTAAAACATACTTAACTATTTGTAAAAGTATAGCAAACAATTCATCGTACAGAAACTTTTCAGTAATTTATATATCAACAGCAATTACAGTTTTCAATTAAACAGTTTTAAATTCAAAACCATTAATGTGCCTCATTATTCACTACATGTTCACAGTTAGTTGTTTGTAGTGCAAAATATAACAAATTACACCTCTACAGAAAAATGTTGGTGAAAGTTATAGAAACAAAAATGTTTCTTGTAGGCAATTAGTTTCTAAGACTGCATAGAATGCCTCTTTGTATGAATAAATATACAAAAGCTGAGACAGCTGTCAAGACCTGTTAATTGTAAACAGAGAAAGAGTTGGAAATATTTATAAACTATTAGCATACTATTACAATTTAGAACGACTGGAAATTATTTTAAAATTACCAAAATACTTTCAAGTTCATTATATTCTTATATCCAGAAAAAGAATGCTTATTCTCTGATTCATCTTTGGTTTTCTAAAGCTGAAAGTTATCACACACAAGAATACCAAGAAGTAGAAACACCACATTTTCCTCCAGACAGTGGTTTTTAATGCCACTAGGCTTGAAGCTATAAGCTGTTAATCCAACTAGATGGGTGAGTTGCCACTGCACTTTCATCACAAATGGTTCCTTTATGTCTAAATGTTATGTTACCAATATAAGAAAGTTAAGTAGCCAAGGATATTCAAGGTCTTGTGATTTCCAATCTCAAGCATTATTTGTACCAACCTTAAACACCTTTTCTACTTCTCTTCAAATTTAGGGGGGAATAGGACTAACTGGTAATTTGTATAATTACCCTTTTTTTTCTTTTTTTTTACATGTAATATGGGTAAATAGCCACCTAGTGGTGGAACTTACACTTTCAATCATGAAAAAAGGACATGTACATTTATAAACAAATTATCATTTCCTATCTTAAAGTCAGTAGATTATATGTAGGGATGGCCATGGTACACAATAGGCATAATACAAATGCTAAAAAATCAACAATGAGAGAGTTTTACTTTAAAAGATGACTGCCACTTACTTTCATTTGTTTCTCTACCCAACAAGGCCAAAAACAAGGCAAGAAACCATCACTAAAATACCAGACCAGAAAGTGACCAACCCAACAAACTGTTCATCATTCTTCTTGTTTCAACTCTACAACTACTTTATCATTTTAGTGCAATTTAAACCTATGTCCACTCTATATGTTTCTTGGCAGCACACAATGTCATTGCTTAGTCGTAATAACAAATAGTAATTTTAAAAAATCATAATTCTAGTGTAAACTATGTTATCATTACCCCTTGAAGTTGGCTTTTTTACAGAAATATGGTGTTAATTTAAAAAGCTTACGTACAGGGTGAAACAGAAATTACCAGCCAATATATCAAAATGACTGACCTCGTAACCATTTTTTACTCGTGCATTTTACAATGTAACATTAAATTTTAATATTGAAAATCATGTAGGGATGGTCTACATATGGCTGTATCATCCCTATATTCTTGTTTGAATTCTTTTTGGCACTATCACCCCTATATCATTTTACATTTAAAAAATGTTTTTATTACTTTTTAGAATAACACTCATAAACTGAAACATATATTTCATTCTCATTACCTTGAATTACTGCTATTATGATTAGTGACATAACCAAAGGTCAGAATGAACAGCCTACACAGAGATAAATCAAGATAGACATTTCTGCAATGATGGGAGATTTGGAGAACTCTAGAAGATCAAGAGAGTTGGTCAAATTTGAAGTTGGTAAATAAAAAACTATGAAAAAAACTAGCTAAAATTGTAAAAATAAACAATAAGGATTTCTTACTTTGAAAAGTCATTTAACAAAATTGAAATTATTGTTGGATAGTGAACATGGCTTTAGTAATGGAAAATCTTACTTTACTAATCTTTTGACATTACTGAAGAGGTCACTCCTAATGTGGATAAGGGTACAGGTGTGAATGTGGCATATCTGGATTTTCAGAAAGCATTTGACAAGGTGCCACATAAAAGGATTGTCAATAAAGGTACCTCTAGATGTGGGGGATAGGTTGGCTCATTGGACAGAACATTGGCTGGATGGAAGAAAGCAGAGGATTATTATAAATGGAATTCAGTCAAATTGGATTAACAACACAAGTGGGATACTTCAGGGCTCAGTATTATGACCCTTTGCTCTTTTTGATTTACATCAATGACATATATGAAGGAATGGTAAATAAATTATCTATATTTGCCAATAACATTAAAGTTTTGGGTGTTGCTGGCTGAGAGGAGTATGCTACTACTTTACAAAAGGATTTGGATTATTTGGTGAGTTGAGCAAATAAATGGCAAATGGCTTTTAATTGTAATAAGTACAAAGCAATTCATGTGAGATATTACAATTTGAATTGTAAGTACAAGTTTGATGAAATAACCTTAACATTGTTATGGAAGAAAATTATCTTAGTGTTCTAGTTGATCAGTCTCCAGTCATCCAAGAAATGTGCTGTTTCTAGTGGCAGGGCAAATAAGATTTTAGGTTTTATCTATAGAAATACTGAATACAAGTCTTAGGCCACATTTGGAATATTATGTTCTATATTGGACTCCTTACATCACAGAGAACATTGAGATGTTGGAAAGGATCCAGAGGAGAGTTACTAGAATGACATCTTGGATGGAAAAGTTATCATACAAGGATACATAAAGATCTCTGAACTAATTTTCTCTTGAAAAAAGAAAAGTTAAAAGAGATCTGATTGATGTGTTTAAGACTGTTAAGGGAAATAATAGTGTTAACAATCTTTTTTCGTATTTAACAGTAAGAATGGCAAGACTAGGGGACACAAGTATAAATTTTCACAGAGAAGTCTTCTCCAGCTAAGACAGCTATATTTTTCTAACAGGGTGATTGGCCTCTGGAGAGGGTTACCTTCGGATGTGATGGGTACAGTTCATTTAAGGGAAAGCTTGATAAATATTTAAATGATAAGGGCTGGCTTTGAGTTGGTAATTTTTAAGGTTTAGTTTAATTTAGTATATAAGACAGCCTAGTTGGACCAACAGATCCCTTGCTTTCCTTTAATATTATGTTGTTACCATAAATCACAGTGACATAACCAAAGGTCAGAATGAACAGATGACACAGAGAAAAATAAGGACAGACATTACTATAAATCATATAAATGATATAACCAAATGTTAGCATGCCAGATAAATTTGAAAATAAATAACAATAACGAAGTACCATTTTAACCCACCTTGTAAACACTGTGTAATTATGAAACTTGCACACTATAACTTTTAATATTGTAAATGTATTTTCATAAAATTTGGTATGCTTTTAGTAAACACTGCAAGTTTATGGTACACTAAAAAATCATATTTTTAAATTAAATTTTACTATAGATTTGTCTGAAATTTAAAAAAGCCATTCTTGAATCAATACAAGCAGTTATTTTCATGTTAAGAATAAAAATACGTTTTTCATCTAAAGAGTTTAAAATTTCACTTCAATAGAGAACAAAAAACCACAGTAAATGGAACTGTTAGAAGTCTTGATATTGGAGAAACTAGTTTCGACACATTTGTGTATCCCAGTCTCATGTTGTCTTCTCAGAAATGTTCCTCAAACCACAGTATGTACAAGAAAAAAGAAGGTTATTGGTGGATACTTTCAGACAATTAAATGCTCCCTAGTAAGCATTTCAAAACAAAAGAAAACAAAAAATTGAAGGCAGGTGCTGCCAGCCACTTGCCTTCCCTCTATTCAAAATGAATTACACTGGCAGAAAGTCTTAGTAGCTTTGTCATAACAAAGACAGGGTAAGCAGGTTGGGCGGACTGGTAGCAATAGGAAGAAAACCCAAGACTTTGGAAAAAAGACCGCCCAAAAATCACCAAAGCTATTCTTCAGAAACACAAGGACAGAAGATTGGGCTTGTTTACAAACAGTTACATAATGGTAATGTTCCTTAACCTGGCACCAACCTGAACAGGAATCCCACCAAGGTCATTGCAAGTGATGCAGCATATATGGCTCAAATACACTGATAAATAAGATCCAAAAAAATTAGCCACAGAATCCCAGTGTACTCCATAGTGAAATGTGTAAAGAAGGCCACAACTGAAGGAGCAGAAGCTTCCAAGTTAGTAGACGTTTTAATAGAAAAGTTGAAATCTATAGTTACAGGTACAAATGATCTCAACAAGAAAACATGTGCAATAAGCCATGTAGATTGTAAGAGACAGGAAAACTAAGGTAGGTCAAGTACATTCAGAACTCTAGTTAACCAATGTTAATAGAGTGAGTTCTACTCAACAAGAAGTGGCAAACTTTGTTTCGAAAATAAATCTGCCTGTTTTGAAAAGTAAGTTTCAGAAATATATTGTGTTAATTGTAGAACTCACAACAACAGAAGTTCTCATGTCTAAAAAACAGCAATAGAGAACCTCTAATCATTTGTTAAAATTACAAGGTTAGAAAATCATTTTTCTATTTGCCTCTGAAGAAGGAAAGCCCACTTTCCAAAACAACTTAGGTTACCAAGTTTCTGTCTAACACTAAGCTATCCAACAATAAAAGCCATACCCATTTATTTTCACCAATAATGCTTTTTCCTGCAAGTATGATCTTCATACTATATTGTGTTGCTATGGCTAGGCAATTAGCAGGTTGATTTACCACAACCCAACTAAATTATACAAATAAGTGGATATACTTATCATTTCTGGTAACTGGGAGTCTCTTTAAACTTATCAGCTTTTTTAGATACAAAAAATGTCGTTGTTCAAAAGTTTCCTTTTATTAATTCATAACTGGATCAAAATAATAATAATAATAGCAAAAATATATGTAAATCAAATCAGACTTGTATAATTTAGTTGTGGCAGTAAATAAACCTAATAACTGCCTGACCATAACAACACAATGTAGTATGAAGGTCATACTTATGGGAAAAAAGGCCTTATAAGTTAAAAGAAATGGGGGATGGCTTGTACTCTTGGTTAGCTCAGTGGCTGAGCTATGGATATACATGTATGTATATGTATAGCTATGCTGCTGTTTAAAACTGCTGTCAATCACTATTTGGAAATGTTCAGCAGTTTTTAGTAAACTATAAAAAAAAGCCTAATACTACAAAATATGGTAAGAGATAGATGAAAATTCTATCACTTAATTTTAGAAAAAGTGTTGAACATGTCTCACCTTAGCAACTCATTGAAACCAAAATATCACACACCATGTATTATTTCATAAAAAAAAGTACAATATTGACAAACTATTTGTTTTCATGAAGAACTGGCATTTAAAAAAAAAGTAACTTGTTAATTTCATTATACTAATCAAATACTAAAACACCATTCATTTCTGTGATTGGAAAATTTAAATTTTGTGAAGGTGTTATGATATCCAAATTATACTTTTTTTTTATTTTAGTCTAACCTGTACTTCAGCATTTATTCAGAGCTCACTACCAATGTCATTATACAAATTATATTTCACAGATGTGAGCAATGGGCAAAATACTGTATCATCTGGTGTACATATTGTATTAAAACTAACAATTTTAGAACTACAGTAATCCTTGCAACTTAGTTTTGTATTACTATATGCTATAAGCTCAAATGAAGAAAGAAGATTAAAATCATTTGCTAAAAGAGAAAAGTTTCCTTCTGAATGTAATTTTTGGGTTGTTTTATTAAATCTATACTGTAATTGATTGATCTCCAAGTTACTTGAAAAATACTACTATCCTTTTCTTACACTGTGTTTCTATGTGTTTTAGTTAAGCATAATTCAAACCTGCTCGTAGTAGTCACTAGTACTGCACTGTCACCGACAGACATGTATCATTTTGTAATGTATTACCAATGAAAATAATTATCACAATAATTCATTATCGGGTGATTTGCCATCATGTGACGTTATGACAGCAGTCAAATGTTAGCATGTTTTATCTGTGAACTGTCAGTGAAAATGACTAATAATTTTTATTAAGAATGCACCATCTGTTAAGTGAAATGGCAGTTTTCAGTATTTCATGTTATATATCTCATTAAAATTGGCCCATTAGTTTATCAGAAAACATATGAATGTCACTAAACATCCTCCCCCCCCCCCCATCTTTTGTTATTGCTCTTTCAAATTAGTGCACCTAAATTTGCAGATGTCCAATGACACTGTTGAAATCCATGGAAAGAAAATAGGGAATACGTTGCTACAGAAATATTTACAAAATTAATCACTACTTCTTTATTAAACTGCAAAATTAATCTAATAAAAATTACCTTATAATAACAATGTGAAAGTTGATTCATAATATACTAGGCCCCCACTCCAGTGAGCTCAGCAATACGTCTAAGGCAAGGTTTCCCAAACTTATAAAATTGTCATCAATCCCAAAATTCATAGAATATAACTTATAAATGAAACTTCATAGGCAAGAAATTATTATATAATCAACTTTTATTCATCATAATACAATCGTTAGGAAACATAAAATGAAAAAAGAATGGTTTTAATTTTCACTTGCTGTTGCCACTAGGCATAGGGCAGTTAGATGCATAGGTCAACCTTAACCTAGGAGCCATTTTTGACCTCCCCATTGGTCTTTATTCACCCCCTGTACAGTCTCATCAAAACCAGGGGGGGAAGGGGTCAATATTGACCACTTTGGGAAATCATGGTCTAAGGGCTTATAATGCTACAAATCAGAATTAATACCCATGGTGAGCATAGTATATTGTTTAGCTTAGCAATTCACCACAAACATAATTTAATACACTATATGTACAAAGTAAAATGATTAAAAAAATATTGGACCATTTTGTGCACCATACTATGGACTTTATCCTAGTAAACAATGTAAACTGCTACTACACCAGTCGTCTTGAACTTTAAATTTTATAATATCAAACTTGGACTTACATGTAAAAAATATGTAGATTTTTAATATTTAATAATACTAGTATAAAAACATGAAACACTAAGTCAATTAACTTTTAAGGATAAGCAGCATATATCATTCTTTTTTACTGCACAATCATATTATAAAAGTATAATTATAAAATTACATTTAGCGATTTATATCCTACTCCTACGTTCTAGTAAACAAGAACACAGACAAAGATACAAATACAATGGTTGACTCTTCCAAGTTCATTTTAATTTTAAGTTGAATACTCTTGGTATAGCTAGGCTCACTATTAATGTACCTATTTAATTTCATTTTTACTACAAGTATACCACTACTACTTCAACTCCAAGAATTAGTACTACTAGTAGTAGTAGCAGTATTAACCTACCGTAATTTGGCCATTATTATGATTATAACAAAATGCAAGTTAAAAGGCTTAGGCCTAAGTCTGGCCGTAACATAAAATTTGACACAACTATGTTAACAATTTTAAAATCAACGTTACTAGAACATAAAAATTATAACCAATTATAACCTTCATATTCATAAATTATAGTCCTTAACTCATTCTTACTTTCAACGTAACTCCAGTATTATTTGATTTCTCGTATGCTAGAACACTTCATATAAAAAATAATAAATTATGTCATTGGCCACCTAGTAGTGCGTTCCAGAAAATAAACGAAAGGGTAAAAAAAAAAGTTGAAACACATTAAGCTAAGTTTTCTCCTTTTCATTTACTTTCTGTTAAGGCTATATCTAAATGCGTCTAACCACGATCAGCTGTCTTCATAGTCTTCTCGTTCTCTCACAGAAGCCCATAGTGGCACAGCGGTATGTCTGCGGACTTATAACGCTAGAAACGGGGTTTCGATACTCGTGGTGGGCAGAGCACCAATAGCCATTGTGCAGCTTTGTGCATAATTACAAACAAACTCTCACAGAATGATTGTAGTACTAGGATATTACTCTAATAGCATTAAGATATTTGAAAAACCTGGCGTTTCGTTCTTTTCCAGCATAGAAGAAAGAAAATTTACTTGTTCATAAAGTTTTCTAACCTTTTTACATTTAAACGTATTGGAGCAAGCATTAATTCTAAACTAAAGAAAAAAATGAGTGTTTAAAGAACGATAAAACTCCTGGGCCAGATAATATTTCCCCAAGGATTTTTGAAGGAGGTTAAGGATTGAATATGCAAGCCACTTTCTACTATATTTGTCTAAATCTTTGAATAGTGGGCAGGTATCACAGTATTGGAAGTTAGGTAATGTCACACTTCTTTTCATGGAAAGTGATAAAAATTGTCCCAGTAATTATAGGCCCATTAATCTTACATCAGTTGTGGGGAAAGTCTGATAAAAGATGCCTTGCAAAGTCATTTAACAAAGTTTAGAATTTTATAGGATTGTCAACGTGGTTTCACTAAGGGAAAATCTTGCCTTACAAATCTTTTGACATTATTTTAAAAAGGTTACTGCTTATGTAGATGAGGGTAATGATGTAGATTTGGTGTATCTGGATTTTCAGGAAGTATTTGACAAGGTGCTACATAAAAGGCTTGTTTAAAAAATTCTCTATAGGTGTGGCAACACTGGATAAGGCCATGTTACGACAGCGGAAGTCACGCGACGCTGAGAGCATGCGCGCTGGAGTTTCTAGAAGGATCGTGACTTATCAGGGAACCTCGCGAATGTCCCAGTGTTTGCTAGACGCCCTCCTTTTTAGTATATAAGCCAGCGATAGATAGATTTGCAGATAGAGATAATTGAGTCAAGCGAACAGTAGGCACCGTAAGCAAAGTGTGTGAACCACTGTGATTTATAACGTGTGTTATAAAGGTTGTTAAGTTTAAAGTGGCGGTGAAAATTCTGTGTATTACAAAGTTGTATCAAGAAAGAATAAACTAGTTTTAATTAAAAAGGGTCTTGTATCGCTGAAGTTCCCCCAAAAAAATTTTACCGGAAATTATCAAACAAACAGATACATAACAGCCACTAAATAAGTGGAGGTTCGATCAGTATATCTATTATGGAGTAATACTACACCTTTTACTACATGGGTTGGTGTAAAATGAAATAACAAGGTTGGACATGAAATGTAAAAACAAACTGCAAAATCTTTTTTATGACAAAGAAATAAAAACAATATGTGAACTTGTGGTCTTTTCTTTCAACCATTCTAGTTTAAATCCTATACCAAAGTGTATATATGCAACACTGTGTAACGACAGCAGAAGTCACGTGACTCTAATAACACGTCATGAGCTTCTAGAAAAATCATGTCCCTTCATGAAGCCTCGAGTGTTTACTAGATGTACGGTATTCTTGTATATAAGACCGCCAAGAAGTGACGGCAATAATGTAGTTGAATTGCAGACAGAGATAGAGACGGACAGTTGGGTCGAGCGCGTGTGTCGTTCGTTGTTATTATATCGTTTGTTTAAGTTATAGCGTGACTGTGGAAATTAAGTAAATTTCAAAGTTGTATTGAGAAAGAATAAACTAGTTTTATTTAAGAAAGGACTTGTATCGCTAAAGTTTCTTCAGAAAGAATATTTATGGAAAATTAACAAACGAACAGAGACGCAACAACTGCTTATTTAGTTCCAAAAGACATCCCATTTACCCAGAGCAACATTTACAATATAGGTAAGGCCACAACCTCTAGACATCATCTGAACAACCATTAGAGGACACTACTGTTAACATCCTTACACAAATGCACAACTATATGCGAGTATTATTTTCCAAGACCATGTTTAGCAGACCAACGGCATAGATTGGAGCTGCTTTAACATGTATTAAATAGAATTCTTGTGATTTTAGTAATTTGGCCATCATTTTCATGAAAACAGCAATTAATTTTAATGCAGCTGGAATCTTGCGATCTTTTATCAGTTTCAAATTATTCTGTATAATCTTGTTAGTGGTAACAGAAAATGTCTTTAGCATTGATAAGACATTGGATTTGATAATTTGGCTATCAAACAAAAATATGAATGATAACTGAATAATTTGCACAGCAGCTTCTGCAGTAACATGTATATACGGCAGATCTATATAAATTGCGTAAATGCAACTGTACTCGTTTCCCTATTATTTGTCCCCTTGTTAAGATGGCGATCGTATTACCAGGCAAACTCACATGACTGTGACGTCGACTTCAAGAATCTTATTTCTGTACAGGTTTGGTCGATTTGATTACCATAAAAATTAGGAAATAGATCTAAATTATGTATTTTTAGTTGTAGAATGACTACATAAAACAAATGTTTATTCTAAATAGGTTAAATCTCGAAACATCACACACGATAGATAGATAGAAAATACCAGTGCTTGTTTTGTTTGTAACTAAGCACAAAGCTACATAATAGGCTATCTGTGCTCTGCCCACCACGGGTATCAAAACCCGGATTCTAGGGTTTTAAGTCCGCATACATATCACTGTGCCACTGGGGGGCAAGTTCGGCTTGTCAACTGAAGTTGTAAAGTAATTGAATATGCATAGGAAACTGTACATATAGAGCTTATGATATGACTAATCTCTATAGTGAAGAATTTGTACATGCATTTAACTGGTTCCGAATATACATACATATATATACACATAATAATGGTTGGATACGGCTTGAATGGGTAATGAAGAAAAACGTTGATATAAGTTTAACATAACAGCAAATGTACAACGTTTCGACAAGGTTTTGTCATCATCAGGTACCTATCATCAGCTATTACTCTACTGCCATGGTTTCAACTTTGCCCATCTAAGTATTTGTATGACATTTTCTTGCTCCAGTCTTATATACCCCATTCAACTGCCCTTTGCAATATTTGTCTTATGATACCATCCACCTACGTCAGTGTGCCATCTATCCTGGTACTATATATAAGTGCCTCATTCAGATAATTTTATTACTTTTTCGAGACTGGCACCATCTCAGTCTCTAACACTAGCTCTTAGGGGGAGGAAGAAGGCCAGAAGAGTGTCTGAGGAAAATGTTACCTCTGCTGCCACTTATAGCTAGAATCCCACATTGAAATTGAAAAGGTGGAGGGGCCAGTGATGGCAGTATCCATACAGAAAGCAATGGAAAAGGTCATTTGGGACGAAGGACTAAACGATTTGAGAATGCTGGATAGCACTGAGAATTTAAATACTTTCCAATGTTTAGAATATCGGAGAGTAGTTGAGAAAGCTGCTTTATGTAAAGTGACAGTAGACGAAAGTAGACCCTTGTAAAAAAGCCGGGTCTAAAAACGAGATATGGCGGGCACATGTGGGTGAAGTGGGTTTAATTTCCTCATGAGATAGCATTGGCAATAACTGTGCCATTTCCATTGATAAATGGCCATTGTGGGCCTATGGATAGATTGAGATAAATACAAGACAACTTTAGAAATCAAATCGCGATGCCATGCAAAGGAGTGCATAACTTCCATACATGAACTTTGAGCTGGGAAATGTCCGGGTGTGGAATGTCAGATCAGGGTTGCCTCCACAGAAAAGACCAAAGAGGAAGTGGCAGAGGTGAAAACTCTTGAATATACTGTAGAAAAGGAAACTGTATTGGGCCAGCCAATCTGGGGTTACAAACACTACTCGAAAAGTAGTGGATCAAATCATAGCCAGAAATCAGGATGAATTGGAGGGAAGGCAGAGGTGCAATCCCATCAAATCTTGACTGAATGCATCTATCGCCAAAGCCCAAGGAGGACGTACTGGGGGCCAAATCGCCTGTAGTTGAGAGTTCTAAGGAGTGATGAATGTGTCGATCATTGGAGTCCCGAACTGAGAGCAAATCCCCCAGAAAAGCTCTTAATGGAACATCCATTCAGTCGAGATAATTCGGTTGGGCTGAGACAGGTGATCTGGAACACCCCTGGAACATGGCAAGCCAGGAGGCTGATATTATGGGAATGGGCCCAGTAGAGAATATCCAAAGTTCGAAAACAAAGGTCCCGAGAACGTGTGCCTCCTTGAAAGGAAATGTAAGAGTCCACTGTGGAATTGTTGGAATGAATCATGACGATTTTCTCTTTCAATAGATCGAGACCTTGCACCATTGCTAATTGGACAGCAAGAAGTGCTAAAATTCCTGACTGTTGATATATGCACCCATTTCTGAAGTGAGGCATCTGTGAAGAGAAGGTATAGAAACACCAATGATAGTGTTCACCCGATTCAACCACCACTCAAGATGCAAGATGTTGCTCCTGATTAAGGAGACTGAATGATCCAGTTGATCACAGTTCATGATCCATTGGTCATGCAGCAACCACTGAAGGGACTGCATATTTGCTTGTCTCAAAGGAATCAGATTCGAGGGAGGCCCACATCCCCAAAAGAGAGAACCATCCACCCAGTAGGAGACATAAGTAAAAGCCTGATTGTCTTATCCATAGCCTGCAGTTGGGTGGGAGTAAGCTGAGCCAGGTTTAAAAACATGTTGAAAAAGACATCCAGATGGACAATATATTGAGTCAGCAAGAGAATGGATTTCTCAGCTCTGATGAGAAAGCCAGCCTTCATGGCTTCTGAAAGAAGAATCAACTGACGAGATGGTGCTAGAAGTAACCAGTCATCCACATGATGTTGTGTGCACAGGCCCAAAGCATTAAAGTGACGAGAAAAAGCTTGTATGTCTCTGCAGAAGACATATGGTGCAGGTGCTAGGCCAAAGTGTAGAGCACTGAACTGCAGATCCTGCCCCTTGTGCATGAAACGTAGATAGTGGTGGGACAACTTCGCAATGGGAATGTGAAGATAAGCATCGGCAACAAACTTGGTCATCCATAGACCTGATTTAAAATGCTAACGTAGGTTGAGAAAGGATTCCATTGTGAACCTGGGAGGACCTAAGAATTGGTTGAAATGAGAAAGATCGATGATTGGCAGCCAATCTCCAGTCTTCTTGGGCACAACAAGTAAACGGGAATAAATTTCCGGAATCGACTCTCTCTCTCTCTACTGTCCAGTTGACCAATAACTGTCCAATAACCTTGGAACAAAGATCCACACTCCACAGATCTGTTGGAGGTGGAAATACCACTGGTTGGAAGGATAATGAAGGTGGAGAAGTGAAGTGAATGACCAACCCAGATGCCAGAACCTGAAGTACCCATGGATCAGTGGTGAAGGAAAATCGGGTGTCCAGAAAATGTTAATCTCGCTCTCACAGACCCCACCTACATAGAGTAGTCATCGACGCCACTGGCGATGGTCTGCACGAGCAGAGGAGCCTCGAAGATAAGGAAAGAACCTATTCCGAGTACCAACAGATCAAGGAGCTGGGGCTCGGGACACATGACGAGCAGTTACGCCATGACTTTAAGCAGGAAACAAAGAAAGTCTTGAGGCCAATGACAAGAAAAAGTGCAAACGGGTGACATCAATTCGTGATTCCAGTGCCACTGGGACGCCCGTGAACATCAAGGTACGAAGAAAATGATCCTCACATAACTCACGGAAGGCTACAGCAGGTAGACGAACTCCCTCTAACAAGGCATCTCTACCCAATTAATCCCAACAACATGTAAGCCAGGAAACCAAAGGAAGAGCAGAAACTGACAATGTTACCAATGTAGAAGTCAGCAAAGGACCCAATTCGTCTTCAAGTTGATGTGGAGAACATCGATAGGCTTCCAACAAAATTTGGAGGGAAGATAAATATCTCAAAACAATAGTGAGGGTCAAACGAATCCGAGAAAATTGTGATTTGTTCAAAGTGATCACATAGTCCAGTCTGAAACCATACATATCCAAAAGAGTTTTTGTGAATCTAAATATACGTCACCCTGGCGGTGGTAAGCCAAAGCATGTTGCTCACACAAACGTGGGGAAACAAGGCATATCTATCCCGTCACGTAATTGAGCAGGAAATCTTCCAGCATGAACAGCAGTATGAGGTGGAGGAGGAAAAACTAAGTGGTCACCCTCAGACCTTTCAGCCAAAGGAAGGAATAGACTCAAAGGCAACAGGAGAACCCGATTGACAAACTGAAGAAATGGAGCAGGAGGTTGGTGATCCAAATTGGTCCCGTGAGAAGCCGAGCCAATAACGAAGGCACCAGAAAAAGAGACAAATGCTCGCTACTGTACTGGATCATTGGCAAAAGCAACCTCAGAACCTCCGGAGAGATGCTAGATAACAGAAGTGGAATAAAGGAAAGTTGATTAACCTCCGTGTTTGAAACGGTAGCTGTGAATTCATGCCTGAAAACGGAGTGTCACAATTTTTAAAAATTATAATTATTAAATATAAACTATACAGAAAATCACTAGACGACGTGAAAATCTTAATTAAGGGCACTAACTATTACAGCACTTTTGTAGAGAAACCCATGTTTAAATGCTTTGTCGAGGAAAAGTGATAAAATTATCTGAATGAGGTGCTTATTTACAGTCCAGGATAGAGGACGCATTGACGTAGGAGGACAAAATCACGAGACAAATATCGCCAAAGGCAGTTGAGTGAGATATAAAAGACTGGAACATGTCAGAAAAAAATCAGACCAATGCTTAAAGGCAAAGTTAACAGCATGGTGTTAAGTAATAGCTATATGTGTCAGAAGAAGAAAAGTATGTTTTGGAATGATTTCTTCTACTTACGAAGTTTGGCGTGTCGTAATTTAAGAAGCCTTTTCGAATTTCACACGTGGAGGATGTAAAATAATTTTTTTTAGGTTTTATATATGAATTTTTAAATAACAAAAACAATAAATAACTGTATCAATATTACAGAATTCCACTGTAATTTATCAGGCTTACTAAATAAGCTGTATTGGAGTGTAAAATAGATCATTTTTCGATCACCATTTCGTCCCACTACTTTGAGCCTACGACGAAAAATGCGGGTTTTCCCGTGTAAACACTTTGCAAAGGCTGAGAAAACCACGTGGGTTAAATTATGAGCTTTCGATTGGTTATAAACACGTAATAAAGCGAGGTAGGTGGGGCCACCTTGTTTGATTCACTAAATATAATATCTCAGAAAATAGAAAAGAAAGGAGGTTATTTTTATATTCTAGCTTGGGTTGTTAATATATGTAATTTGAATTTCCAATTCGTAAGAAACTATAGACTTTGTATCTGGACATCTAATTTGAACCAAAGATTCATTCAACATACTACGTGACACACAAAAATCGATATTTAGGAATTTTGTTTTAATATTTATATTTAAATCGAGAAATTATCCCATGTTTAATACTAGAATTGTAATTATAATCTACAATTTGATACCAATCTTATTGACATACATTCATAAAACAATAAAAAATTTGAATGTAAGTATATAAACGTAATGCCATGCCCTCTGACCCCTACCTATAGCAATAGGGGTATTTTAGTTGGTTTTCCAGCTGGCTTATAGTTAGATGATGTAAATGTTTGGGTCCATTCATTTCCGCATCTGTCATTACATTTATAACATCAGCATTCAAGCTTTGGCCAACTGTGTGACCTGGAAATGAAAGTGGTGTTCCCATCTTGTCAGGTTTCTTTTTTTTTCAGATGCAATGGAATGGATGTCATGGGTTGGTCGACAATGATGTTCTATTGGCTGATTGTTATTCTTGTTTTGGTTACTGGTGGTGAAGATGCTTATTTATTTTCTCAGATCTACATATTGTTACATTAGTTTCGGAATATGATTATCCCATTGAATGTGCAAATAAATTTTATCTCCGCGTTTGTTTTTCAACACACCTTGATAGGACAGTGAATTAATGACGTTCTCTTGGTCTTCTTTGTTGAAAGTCTGATTTGTGTGGTCACTGTTATTAATGATGTTATGGAAACTTAGAAAGCAACAGGTTGTATCTCTGAATTTGGCTGGATCACAAGAGCAATACTAGCGGGATTGGTAACAGACGTGGATGAAACAGCCATGCCACACTGGCGTTTTTCTTTTCTAGCCGGAGGTAATGGGAAACAGATGAAACATAAAATTGTCATTGAACAAAAGGCCTCTTGGGCAATGACTTGACATTAGAATGACGGACCTAGTAATAGACTTTGCATATATTTTCATGTACATATTAAAAGATAAATCAATAAGCATGTGGAATAGTAAGAATAAAAAACAGTGCAAATTTGGCATCATGGTGACGTTTTCAGAGTATGGAATTCAGATAAAAAGAATTTACTTTTTATAGCTTTCTGAAAATAGTTCACTAAATCATGATCTACTACAGTTCACACCAATAGAAAAGCCATCATCATCATTGTAATCATAGCAGTAGTAAATATAACACTGGATTGTTAATGTTGTTTGCAGTTGCACATAAAGCTACACAATGTACTTTGTGTGATGTGCTCACCACTGGTATTGAATCCTGGTTATTATTATTTTTATGAGTCTTCAGACTTGCTGCTGTGCCACTGGTGGGGGGGGGGTAGTATAACATTGAAAAGGTTGTAAAAAAGATGTACACTTACCCCAGCATATTATCCAAACGTTTCCTGCAGTACACTTGTAAGTTATGCTGCAGAGTAATGGTTCATAACCAGAGTAATCTCATAGAATATTATTAGTGGTGGAAGGTTCCACCTCCTTCCTTGCAGGGTTGAGCTATAGGTTATCCATAACATTTTTCGATGTTAAATAATTACGTTGAAAAATACCTGAAAACTAAATCTGTAAAGGAGATTAAATTTCAGGCTTATACAAAAGACAAATGTGGCTTGCATATAGGCACCTAATAGGAAATGGGTCATTATTATAACAAACATTTTGGGTACCAAAATTCCTGCATTCTTTTTAAAAAGATATTGTCTGTAGAAGTTCATATTGTTAGTTTATATAGTTGGCTCTTTCTTTTTGATGGTATAATATAAATTAGACAAACCAAATCTGCATTTCAAGAAGGTGGGCTTCCTCATTTCAATATATAAATGTTTAGATGTGCAGATATTGACTCTGATAACTTTCTTTTAGTAGCTATATTACAAATGAAGAAAATTATTGTAGTAGGAAGAGAAAGGAGATTAAACACAATAAATCTGAAAGACTACAAGACAAATTTTTTAACTGGTACTAAAGAACAGATATAGTATACTACAGAACGTACAAGAGAATATACATGGACAGTGTAAAGCTGCTATACTTGAAGTTATTGGATTCATAAGAGGAACAGTGGATTATAAATGCTACATGGAATGCCTTGGATTGGTGAAAGAAAGAGAACATAAAGTTACATTTAAACAAGATAAAATTGCAAACAAAAGATGATAAACTTAAATAGCAGTACAGAGATATGGATAATGAAGTTACGCAAAGACTTGAAAATAATAGGAATACATGGCTATTGTGCAAAACAGTTAACTGTGAAGAAAGGTGATTCAAAAACTATTTAAAAATTAAAGACTTGTCTGGTAAAGATAAATTATAAACAGAATCAATCAGACTTCAAAAGCAATATGATTAAAATACATGAAGAAATCTCTAAGCAATGGAAAGAACATTTTGAAGCAGTTCTGTATTGTACAGAGCCAACAACTATGCATGACTTTGATATAAAGCAAAATGATATAATGAAAGAAGTGAAAAACGCTATCCAAGAGTTAGAAAATGGAAAAGCAGCAGGTGTTTATAAAATCCATGCACAATTATAAATGCAAGAGCAAAAGAAATTATTGAACATTTGACAATTTCCGGTAATGGAGTATAGATTGAAAAAGAACCCCATTGGCTGGAGAAATGGAATCATCATTACACTCCCCAAAAAAAGGGGAGATTTAAGCCAGTGTTTAAACTGAAAAGGTACCTGCCTACTGTCAGTGCCCTGCAAAGTAATGACCCAAAAGAAAAAAGCTGTGGATTTAATGCTGAAACTAGAACAGACATGTTTTCAACAAGAACAGTCTTGCTGTGAATGGATTTTTACATTAAGATAGGTAAGTGAAAAATCTCTTGTATGGCAGAGACCATTGATAATTAATCACATTGAGTTTAAAAGAGCTTTTGGCAGCATGTATAGAGTATCTATGTGGAGCATTTATAAGAGATATGGTATACCTCAAATTAGATTAAATGTTACAAAATGTTTATACAAAGACAATGCTTGTGCAGTTAGGGCCGAGTCTTGACTAAGGGAGTGGTTTAGACTTATCATAAGTGTTAGGCAAGGCTGCATCTTATCTCCATTGTTGTTTGCTATTAAAATTGACTCAGACAGGCAACCTCACCTAGCTCGGTTGTGACAGGAGTGAATTAGTGAGTAATTATATTGCTTATGATATTACTACAGTGGATTCATCCTGGACAGGCATTGCAGAAACAACAGCAAACACAAACAGAAGCAAGTAGGATTGGTCTCATTATTAAAGCATTAATTATGAAAGTTGGAATATAATCAGATAAAACAAGAATTGTGATTGGATGTAAATAAATAGAACAGATTCAGGAGTTACGTTAAAAGTATTGTATCAAGTGATGGAAAATACATGGAGATTAGAATGCGAATAGATAAAGCAAGTTTTACATTTGGAAACCTTAACATTTGGAGAAATAAGGGATTCAAATTGCAGACAAAAGTGAGCCTGTTGACTATGGTAAATTAGAGAGTTGGAAGCTGCCCATCACGGACGGTTAAGGGAAATTCTGTATATATATCGTGGAGGGATAAGATAACAAATGAGGTGTGTATGAGGACTAAGCAACAACCTATTACATCAGTCATCAAGGAGAGATGATTAAATTGGTTTGGATGTGTGTTCTGTATGGCAGTAGATAAAAGATCACATATTAGTCATCAAATTATTTCAGCTTATTTGTAAAGTCAACCACTGTACCTAAAAATGTCTTACAACCACCAGGTTTCTTTTCAAGTGTATTTTATTACACATGAATATATTGTTGGTTTATATCACAAACAAAAAATTTAAATATATATTTGACAATCTAATCAGGCTAAGGCACTTTCCTTTGTCAAACTACACCATATCAAACAATGTGAAACATAACATGTGACCATGGTTGTGTGTGCAATGTACCTGAACATGTAACCATGGTTCTGTTGGTAATACAACTAATCCAATAAAATAATCATGTAATTCAAGTAAATTAAATACCAGCCTGGCAAACATTCTCCCATGAATGTTGTATTTTACTTTTCAACAATGTTGGGATTTTAAATTTATTCATGTTACAATTTAGTAAAGGCATGCAATATTGATCATATGATACACTTCACTGACTAAAAAGTGCCACAGAAATCAACAATGCTACAAAAAAAACTTTAATTTTACAGTAATTGTGTTCACATCCCCGTAACAACAAATGTCTTTAGGAACATAATACAATTAATAAACAAATTTACAATGAATTTGAAAGCAGAGTTGCAGAAATTATAACAAAAATGTTGTTTTTATTGTTTGCTGTCAAGTAAAAACCTACACAATGAGCTATCCATGTTCTGCACACCATAAATATCAAAGTTCTATTTGCTTTATAAGCCCATAGCCTTTCTGCTATGCAACCTGAGGAGGCACATTGTTTTCAAAATGAAATGTTAACTGAAATTTCTTTATAAATTTTGCTTAATAACTGGTGTGGAGAATGAGTTAGCAAATTGGATAGAAGACTGGCTGGATGGAAGAAAGCAGAGGATTGTTATATATGGAGTTAAGTCAAACTGGATTAATGTCACAAGTGAAGTACCTCGGGGCTCAGTCTCAGGACCTTTGCTCTTTTTTACTTATATCAATGATATAGATGAAGGAATAGTCAATAAATTACTTAAATTTGCAGATGATATTAAGGTCTTGGGTGTTGCTAGCTGTGAAGAGGATGCTGCTGATTTACGAAAGGATTTAGATCATTTAGTGAGTTGGGCAAATAAATGGCAGATTGGCTTTAATTATAATAAATTCAAGATAGTGCATGTGGGTTATCATAATTTGAATGGGAATAACCGTACCAGTGTTATGAAGGAAAGGGATCCTGGTGTAATAGTCGATCAGTTTCGAAAGCCATCCAAGCAGTGTGCTGTCGCTAGTAGTAGAGCAAATAGTATTTTAGGTTGTATCTACAAAAATATTGAATACAAGTCTAAAGAGGTTATAATTTCATTGTATAGGTCACTGGTTTGGCCACATTTGGAATATTGTGTTCAATCTTGGGCTACTTACCTTAGGAAAAACATTGAATTGTTGGAAATATTTCAGAGAAGAGTTACTAGAATGGTGCCTGGGATGGAGGAGTTGTCATAAGAGGAGAGGCTGAAATCTCAAATTGTTTTCTCTTGATAAAAGGAGAGTTGAGAAGAGGGGGGGGGGGTAGATTGAGATGTTTAAGATTGTAAAGGGAATTGATAGTGTTGATGCATGGTTCTTTTTTCATATTTTACAGTGAGAATAGTAGGATAAAGGGACACAACTATAATATTGGTAAGGTAGGAGTCATCTTCAGCTAAGACAGTTTCATTTTTCTAACAGGGTGGTTGGCCTTTGGATGTTGTAGAGGAGGTAAATTTAATTGAGTTTAAGAGAACTTTATGTATATGAATCATAAAGGCTGGCTTTAAGATTTTGATTTTTTAAATTTAGTTTAAAGGATGGAAACAGCTAAGGTGGACCAACAGGTCCCATGTTGTCCCAAAACATGTTATGTTGTAACTATCTTGTTTTCGACAAAACATTTTTGACAACATTCTTTTATGTTATATATCAAACGATAAAGCTTTGGAAGTGTAATTAATACATCTGAAAGTCAAACTAATTCATCAGAAGAAAAATATATTATTAATAGTAATGTAACCTAACTTTCTGTACTTAAAAAATAAGATGTCCTTTCATGTGTGCGTGTGTATATATATATATATATATATAATTACAAAATAAAAAAAAACTTAGCATGACAATAAAATCTGTAGATTTCTACATTTTTACAAAGTTCTCAATTAAAAAGTATATATAAATGTACATAATCACAAATATCTTTAGGAAATAAAATGTATAAATTACCCTGAATAACTAATTTGTTTATATTAAATTTGGAATCAGTACAAACTCCTGCATTTCATGCAGTGACATGTACTTTCATACTTCCCCTTTTATAATCACTTCCTTCTATTTGTTATCTTCCTGAGACAAAGAATGTTATTTTAAGCTTTCTGTCACTCTCACACTATTCATGCCTAAAACTACTTCCATACTGAATCATATTCATTCACTGGTTTATCAGTAGAGTCACAAATATTAAAAATCTCAGTCACTTTTACTTGCATTTTCTCATCCATGTAATAGAAAGCCATGAGAGCTTCATGTTTTGAGGTGGTTTCAAGAATGCACTCAAAGTTATCAGCATTTTGTGGATCAATACTACCTTGGTATTTACTTAGATCCCAGCTTAAAGCTTTGTTTGTAATATCAATGGCGTTTAACTCACTGTGGTCTCTACCAAAAGACTTAAGTACATCCATAACATCTTGTTGTTTATTCTTGGAAGTCTCAATAGTGCTTTCTAGATTGACTGTGAAACCCAAGTTCATAGTGCTGATTACTCTTTCTGGGATGTACATGTCAGTTTCAATGGATCGTCGTCTCTGATGCTTTATAGGTGAGGGGTCACCTTGTAGACCAGCATATGACTTTCTCTTGACACGACCTAGTTCTAGATCACTTACAAGCTTGCTTGAGAAGATTTCGTCATATTTCAATGACCGTTGGCAAGTAGGGTAAGCTAAAGTATCTTCATCCCTATTGTAATCATATTCTGTAACAGCTAACTGGCAAGAAAACCTAAGAAAACACAACAAAGGACAACAATAAATTCTAGTAATCTGACAAAAAAACAACAACAAAAACTGAGATTTCAAGTGTACTGGTTAGAAAGACAATACAAGGCTTGTGCAAAGTTCTCCTGCTTCAGGATTATACAAACCATGCAATTTTAGCATTATAGAGAAATCTATATCTGTAGTATTGAATCCTATTAGTAAAGCAAGATAAAGTGACTCCAGCAGGGAGACAGTGAGCCAGTCCCTGGCATCAAGAAGGATAAGAAATGCTGCTCTACACTATCAAACCAAGATTAAAAAAAATCACAAACAGTACACTATAAAAACTACAGTAACATAATAATATACGCATAAAATCTAGAGTAAAAGGAGCCTGTAGAGTATCATAGCAACAAAAACTACAATTGTACAACTAGTCTCATAATAAGGGGTTCCACCTGATTTTTTTATTATTAAAGCTAACAGCAATGAGGTTGAATCTATTTGGGTTCCTGTTAGTTGTTATAAAAGGAGAAGGCTTTCAGTTGGAATTTGATAAAAAAAAACAACACTCTGCAGTGAGATAAATAATTCAGCTTTGACGTCATAATGATGTGGGATTTTAATTTCAGGCATATAGATTGGTTAATGTTAGAGTGAAATGATGAGGGAGGAAGGTTCTTAGAAACTATCTGGATAGTTTTCTTCATCAATTGGTTAGGGAACTTACTAAGAATGATGCTATTTTAAATTTACTGTAAACTTCTTAGGGTTGATAGGGTGGAGAATGGGGGAGCTTCTGAGAGCAAATGATCATTATGTAATTAGGTTTGGTGTTTTAATGGATGTGGTAATAAAGAATAATGAGATTTTGGTTCCAAATAAAAAAATTAATTTTGAAAGAATGAGACAAATTATCTGTTATGAGTCGGGCAAATTTTAAAAACAAATTTTTAATTATTCAAGAAAAGCATGTTTACTTAAAGGAAAAAAGGTGGCTGGAATAAAAAAGTAAAAGATAAAATCAATGAAAAGAATTATAACTTAAGTTTAAATTGACTGCAGTGGTGGGAGATTTAGAGAATTATATAAGGTTAAAAGAGTTGGTAAAATTGGAAATTGAAAAATCTATATGATAAAAGGTTGGCTGCAAATGTAAAAATTAATAGTAATGGATTTCTTCAAATACATTAAGAGTAAGCAAAATATTAGGATGGGAGTAGAGCTCTTGAGGGAATGATACAGGAATGCTCATATCTGATGTGTATCAGACAGCTTGGTTATCAAATTGTACTTTCTATTTCAGTTTTCACTAATGAAGATTTAAAAGCAAAATTCTTTGTCCAGAACAATTGGTAGATAGAAACAAGATTGAAAAAGATGATCACATTAATTCTGAACTTTTTAAAGAAAATTCAGAAAACTTTAAAGAATGATAAAGTTTCTTGGCCAGATAATGCAACAACGGCAGTTATTGTGATGGTAATTTTGGTTTAAATATTCCTAAAATCTAATGGATATTAAATTTAAAAGAAACAACCCAGGGATGCCCAGAAGTTTTTCTCTTCAGCCCAGGTAATATTTTCCCCAAGGGGTTTTTAAGGAGTTTGAGAATTGTATATGTGAACTACTTGCTACTATTCTATTAACAGTCCTTGAACAATGAGCAGTTGTCAGAAGATTGGAAGTTGGCTAATGTCACTCCTCCTTTCAAGGGAGGGGATGAAAATTGTCCCAGTAATAATATAAGTCTTGGGGAAAAGTTTTCAAAGTCTGTTAAAAGATGCTTTGCAAAGTCATTTAACAAAGTTTAGAATTTTTTTGGATAGTCTGTATGATTTCACTAGGGGAAAAATCTTACCTTGCTAATCTTTTGGGGTTCTTTGAAGAGGTTACTGCTTAACTAACTGAAAGTAAGGGTGTTTGTTTGGATTTTCAGAAAGCATTTGCGAGGTGCCAATTAAAAAGCTTGTTAAAAAGTTATCTCTGTAGGTGTGGAGGATAGCTTGGCTCATTGGATAGAAAACTGGCTGTATGGAAGAAAGCTGAGGGTTTTTATAAATGCAACTTACTCAAACTGGACTAATGTCAGGATCTTGGCTCTTTTTGATTTATATCAATGAAAGAATGATCAACAAATTATTGAAATTTATTGATGATATTAAAGTTCTGGGTGTTGCTGGATGTGAGAAAAATGTTGCTGATTTTGTGAGTTGGGTAATTCAATGGCAGATGGAGTTTAATAAAAATAAATGCAAGATAATGCAGGTGGGGTATTATAATTTGAATTATAAGTATAAGTCTGATGAGAATAACCTTAACAGTGTTATGGATGTTAAATGTTTTGGGGTTCTGGTTGATCAGCCTCTTAAGCCATCCAAGAAATGTGATGTTGCTCGTGGCAGGGCAAATAGAATTTTAATGTTTCCAAAGAAATATTAAATATAACTCTAAAGAAGTTATAATTTCAATGGTTAGGCCACATTTGGAGTATTGTATATAGTTTTGGGTGCCTTGAGCTAGATATAAGATTGATATATTGGAAAGGGTTCAGAGGAGGGCTATTAAGATGATACCTAGGATGGAAAGGTTGTTATATGAGGACATATTAAGATCTTTGAAGCTGTTTTCTTTTTAAAAAAGTAGAGTTAGAGAGGAATTTAACTGAGGATTAAGACTGTTATGGGAATTGACAGTACTCATGAATCATCTTTTTCAAATTTAAGAATGAGAATAGTAGAACTAGGGGACACAAATATAAATTTTGGCTGGGTAAAAGTCATTTTAAACTAAGACTGCTTTATTTTTCTAACAGAGTGGTTGGTCTTTGGAATAGGTTGCTTTCAGATGTGGTGGATGCAGTTAATTTATGGGAGTTTAAGGGAAAACTTAATAAATATATGAATGATAAAAGCTGGCTTTGAATTTTATTTTCATTTAAAAGTTTAGTTTAAGGGATGGCATGACCTAAATAAAAGTCCTTTTTTGTCCTTAAATTATATGTACATGTAAGTGACATAAAACTTAGTGTACAGACCCTATACAGTATCAGTGACAAACTACAATCATGCAACTATTGTAACAGTATAACACATAAGCACAACATTAAAGCTTACATTATACAGACCCTATACAGTGCCACAGAGACAAAAACTACAATCGTACAACTATTGTAACAGTATAACACATCAGTGTGACATAAAAAACCTAGAGTTTACAGACCCTTTACATTACCATAGAGACAAACTACAATCATACATCTATGGTAATTGTATAACACATAAGCACGACATAAAAACCTACAGTGTACAGACCATATACGGTATCATAATGACAAAAACTACAATCATACAACTATGGTAATATTAGTATAACACAAGCAGGACATAAAAACCTACAGTGTACAGACCATATACAGTATCATAGTGACAAAAACTACAATCATACAACTATGGTAATAATAGTATAACACAAGCAGGACAAAACCTACAGTGTACAGACCCTATACAGTATCATAGTGACAAAAACTACAATTCATACAATTATGTTAATAATAGTATAACACAAGCAGGACATAAAAACCTACAGTGTACAGACCATATACAGTATCATAGTGACAAAAACTACAATCATACAAATATGTTAATAATAGTATAACACATAAGCAGGACATAAAAACCTACAGTGTACAGACCATATACAATATCATAGTGACAAAACCTACAATCATACAACTATGGTAATAATAGTATAACACAAGCAGGACAAAACCTACAGTGTACAGACCCTATACAGTATCAGAGTGACAAACTACAGTCATAAAACTATGGTAATAGTATACCATAAATGTTTATAAATTGTTAGTGATGGTCATAATAACAAAGTTAAAAATTGTAAAGTCTCAGTAATAGCATACTCACTTTGCACTGTACATATGTCTCTTGCTGTTCAGCCTATTAATGACTAAATTCAAAGTGTTCAATACTTTTGTCAAGTTCTTTTGTAGCTCCTTCTGCAAAGTGGGCATTAACTGCCATAGCCTAGCAAATGAAATTAGACAAATTTTATTAAACTGAACAAAATTGTTTTAACATTTACATGCACAAAATGGAAGCTAATTATTCTATATAACTTATATTCTCGTAATTAAAATTCACTATTGTGTATCTGGAAAGTAGCTTATTCTATAGGAATATTGTTTTATGAAATGTGACAAACACTCATATGAAAAATACTGTTAAATGACAGGTGAAAAAGGCATTCACGAAAAATTGTTTGGCATGAATCATGATGTTAAATGACAGTTGACAAGTATATTCAAGAAAGACACTTTGCCAGGAATCGCATTGTTCTATGATAGGTATCTTATTATAGTTATCTTTTAAGCTGTCACAGCTATATAAGTTCAAATTTCAGACTATGGAAAAAAAAAAGTAGGTTTCATAAGAATACAATACTCTATATAATATCACTGTTTTAAAACTTTTGTTTAGTTTACACAACTTCAAATGTTTGAACTTCTATTAATTTTAATATATGTACATATTGTGTCATGATATAAACAACTGTTTAGTTTAAATATTATTTCTTTTTGTGAGTGGATATTTTATTATTGTTTAGTTTTTGTTATAATAAGAGTAAAAAGCAGATGAATTTAGGAAGTTTTGTTACTAATTCATTGATGTTTACACTATTGAATGCCAAGTGCAATACACTGGCATCGAGAATATGATGTGGACAGATGATTAAGTGATAAAGATATAAATAGTGTGAGATGAGTGGAAATAACAGACAGATAATAGCAAAAGAGTAAAGTTACAGGCAAAGAAAGTTCTGCATGAAATTAACTACCTTAGAAGTGTTAGGCCTAACGTTTAATATGTTAGTGTAAGACTAACAGTAGAAAAGAAGAAGAATTTATTCCATCTAAAAAAAAAACCAAACTATAAAGTGTGGTTCTAAATTAACCGAATCAGCCTGAGTGCACTTTGACAAAAGGAACAGAAAATATTTAGAAAAAAAAAAAAACAAACTATAAAGCGTGGTTCTAAATTAACTGAATCAGCCTGGGTGCACTTTGACTAAAGGAACAGAAAATATTTATAAAAAAAACAAACTATTACAGTTACTCATGCCACAATTGTAAGTGAATCACACAAAATACCAGTGCAATAGTAAGAGAGAAGATGGTTCGGCGTGTCAACTGAAGTTCTAAAGTTATTGAATAGGCCTAAGTGGACTTTGACAAGAAGAAAACTATACATATAGTGCTTATGATATGCCTATAATCTCTATAGTGTGAAGAATTTGTACATGCGTTTAACTGGTTAAACATATGTGTGTGTGTGTGTGTGTATTATTTTGAAAATAAGTGAAGTGCATGCTGTTTATTAATCGTCAAATTTATTGGCAACAAGTTACAGACACCTACTGTAGAAGAATCCTAAGCCCAAAAACAACATGGTATATTATTATACTCTTAAGAAATACAAGTAAAAGCCTTTTATTTTTGACAACTGGTGTTCTGCACAAAGATATTTGATATTTTCATAGTATGGTACCTACTTGCAAAATATAACAATTACAATGTCAACAGGTAGCACATAAGGAAGAGACAGAAGTGACAACAGTTTGACTGGCCGGTGACGAAATAACCAGTTGATCACACCTTTGTTAACTTGGTCACTAGCATTCTCTATGGCTGTCAGAAAAGTTATAAAATAAACTTATAAAAAGCATTTTTTTTTTTTTTCATACAGGTATTTGCATCAGTGTTTTCCGATATAACACAACATTACCTGTGGTTTAAAACATAATATTATCAAGCTTAAAAAATAAAGGTTTTGAAAATTATAGAATAAGCACATATTGACTCATTCTTCTTGTAGTTCTATTCAAATTTCACATTGTTATATATTTACTATAGTTTTCAACCTTTCTGCTTGAAAACTTAACTTGCAGTATAATAAATAAACTAAACTATTAAAAATGTTGAATGATACATTTTAACACATGCATTGAGTCTCATACTCAAGATACAGTTAACATACTACATGTTGAATATCACATTCAGTATATTTGTATACAAATCTATAACACTGTCTCACTCTTCATATGTTAATTGTGTACATGTTGGTGATTATGTTCTTTAAGTATGCAAAACATAAAGTTAGTCAGCATCGAGTCATGTAAAGAGTTAGCACCTACAAAATATATAGTGCACAATACTGCTAACTCGTAAAGGCAAAAACTTAAGTATTGTTTATAGATGACTCTAGCATTTAGGCATTCAGCAGCAAACAGATGAAACATTCTAAATCCATGAATTTTCTACCAAGCTGAATTCCATAATTCTAGACACAAGAGGTGTAGTCAGTGATTTTCAAAAATAATGCAGTAATAATACATGCTGTGTTTGGAAGAAACAAGACAGAGATCTAAGACTTTTAGTTGAAAGTACTAACATAATGAGCAACCAGAAATCAAATGAAGAAAATAATGAAAGCTAACAGAGGCTTGAGAGTTAACAGGCCTAAATCTACCAATAAGCTTATACTAACATATCACAGCCATGAAGTGCTAATGAAAATGGAAACCAAGTAAGCAATTTGGGAGTTTCTTTTCCAGTTGGTAAAGACTATCTTATCATGACTGCTTCATCATCACAAAATAACCCTTCCTCATTAACTTAATGTTCTGTGAGCTCCAACATGATAAGATTGGGAATTGTTAGTAACTATTGAACATTAACAAGTCAGCTAACTTCTAGCAAGTCAATTCACTCTACCTAGTTCAAAATAGTAGATTCTACCACAAAACTGGTAGAAAACTGCACACTGGATAAATTGCAAACTTTGTAACTGTTACATTCACATCAGTTCAACATAACCACAGACAGATGCATTTGATTGAAACAAGTTTTGTTGGTACTGTAAAACACAAAGCCACCAATATAACAAGAACTTGCCAGTTACTTCACCAAAAATACCTTCACCATTCAGCAACATTCTACAGTTTTTTCTTAAACTTCTGTTTAGATACTATCATGAAGATGGAAACACAATCAAGAGGCAATATCACAAACATTGCAGAGAAGATTCAAGGTTCTTATTTTCTAAATGTGCTATTCACTGATATACAGAATACCGGACCGAGAAACTCTTTCAAACAAGTAGTGAAAAAGTTTTGGGCTCCATTGTTCTTTTCCTTACTAGCATGGTCTAAACAAAATTTACTTTCCAGTAGTTTTAATTTATTTGACAAGAATTTTAATGGGTGTGATTTCCTATGCTTGTATAAAAACAGGAACACTTTCTCTAAAGAATTCAATTTCCTTCCCTTGATTAGCTTCAGTGCTCTTTTTTTTTGTTCAGGTTTTCATTTCTAATGTTTCTTAATATTTATAGTTCTCTGAATCTTCAGGTAAATCAAATTAAAATTTTTTAATAAGATAGACTAGTAACTGATCAAGTTACTTATTTTTCAGTATAGCTAGCTAGGTAACTGACACGAGGCTTTGGAGAAAATGTTTAGTATTGTCATAAATAATCCTACATTATAATTCCATAATTACAATTATATGACAGTATTTGTATTTTATTATTCCTTGTTGTTGTGAAATAGACTAAGACAACGACTTAATTAGACCCTCATGACTAAGACTATGATTAAACTTAAAAATGCAGATAAATCAACTCTGCTGTCCCTGGTCTACCCCTAAAGAAGCCATGTCAACCTGGATAAAGTGATCAAAGCCAAAATCCTGGAAACTGATGCCTTCTTCAGAAGAGCTGTGAAAATGGTCAAGCTTTAGTAAAGCCTTCCAAAACTAATTGCCATCCTTCAAAGAATCCTCCAAGAATAACTGTTGTTCTACATGTTGTCAGGGAAGTACACGATAGCTAAATCATCAAATCTGAAGAAAAACAACTACTCAATGCTAAAGAAAAAATGATTCATGCCTAATATGCACAAGATATAACTGTATGATTTGGTTCAGTGCAGAATAGTGGGATTTGACTGTCACCCTTATAAAGCACCCACAGACCAAAAGTAAAGAGCATGGTTTTTGTTTTTATGGTAAAGAAGCACAAACAATGAACCAGCAGATCCACAGTCTGGCATACTAACCACTGGGCCACAATAATCCCAAAACAAAGTATCAAAAGAAATACATTAATGAGTATCAATACTGGAATTCAAGGGATATAAAAACATAACTTTTTTTTATCAGTAATAAATAAAATTATATCCTAAGAAGGAAGACAGTATTTCAATGTGTTTTTTAAATTGTCTCAGAACAAAAGTTTTTAATTTCCCAATATAAAAACTACAGAACTACAAGATCAAATTGCATGAATGTTTTACAGCAGAAACTAGATAATACTTAACAAGTTTATGTTAATTTTAATGCAATTCAGTTAAATATTTCCATTGTGAGAGTAAATATATATAAAAAAACAGGTTATATTTGTGCCATCCACTCTGATCCAGAAAGGGTTAATTAATGATTACTCTACTCTACAAGTGTATTACATATTGATTTCCAGTTCCCATATATATATATATAACTTATTATACTAATAAAATTATAGTATTACACAGTTACTATATTCCAATTCACATGAAAATAAAGAACAAACCACAGTGACTGTCACATATTTTACAGTACTTCTTGCTTTACCAAACTTTTTTGTATATGTTGTTTATTTTCATTATAAATTTAGCTGAAATTCATTAAAAGAAAGTTCTAAATAAATTGTCTGTTTTCACTATCTACCTTTCACCACAGACTCGGGTACACTGTCCACTAGTGCCATCTGTTTACGGTAGCGGCAGTCTATACAACCATCGTATGCATGTTCTGGTTCATTTTCTATACTATCATTCTCCGTAGAGGAGTCTGCTTCTGCCACAGTAAAACTAGACTGTACCTCTAGACATCTCATACAAGATATCAGATCTAGAACAAACAAAAATGAGAATTTATTGCTACCATCATCACAAGCATTACTGATAGTTTCTACAAATACAAGTAATTCTTATTTTGTCATCTGTAGTCATAAGATTCATATTTGGTGTCCACAGAAAACTTACTTTTTCATTATTTATAAAAAACATTATGTTAAATGTTTATAGCAAATGTGGATATTATATACAAGTTATCTTTTGTTGATTATAAGAAAGTATTAGTGTAACATTATTTACATTTATTATTTATACAGAATTTATAAGTGATTTTTCTTTTGTAATTCACTGCAATTGTATGAGTAATAAGAAAATGATTTACTCTTGTTGACAGAAATTGCAAATGATTTTTTAAAAGTTACAAAAGTCATATGAAGTCACTTTTGTGTGTAGATAAAGAAATTTACTTTCCCTTTTTTGAAAATTTGTGGAATATGCATTGATTTACTTTGTTGACTACAGGAATTGCTAAAGTGATTTATTTCTCTTGTTTATATAAATGAAAAATGTGATTTACATTTATTGTTAACAAAAAATGACAAAGTGATTGACTTCTTTTGATTATATAAATGAAAAAGTGTCATCTCTGTTGTTCGTATAAAAGACAGGTTATAAAATATTTTTCCTTTCATTCTTTACCTTATGAAAGAAATGGAAATTTGTCCAGTAAATATTATCTAACATCACGGTTTCTTGAAGGTGTTTGAAGACTTGGATTAGATGACTATAACATGTAGCATACTCAGTACTTTGTACACTATACAATTGGTGTCTTTAGGAAGCCAACCTCTATATTATGTATGAAGTGAAGAGGTAAAAAAAAATTCAATACAGAAAATATTAAATTTTACCACACACATTCATAGAATAATTACCTTAAAGGACATGAAGGTTTATTTAAAGCAGTATTTTAGGCATTAAATTTTATTTGAAAAGGCTGTTTTTCTACTGGCAAAATTTTATATGCACTTAGTGGGGGTTGTGTTTTAGTCTAGGCACATATTTACCCATTGCTATGCAATATATATATACAGAGGATTTATTTACAAAAAAACTATAAATGCTCCCTATATTATCAAACAAATCTCCATAACAATGTCCAGCTACAGCTTAACATTATACATCTTGAACTAATATGATGAAATAGTCAATAGCTACAGTAACTCATCGTGAACCTTATCAACTAGCTACAAGCTATGTTTATTATCATTACAATGTATAAAGATAGCTACCATATCAAGTAATCCTTTGCTCATAGTTGAGCACAAAAGATAAATAAATAAACTGGGAATTTAAAACCTTCAAATAGGTATCCTAAAAAAAGTTGTGAAACAAGGCATGTAGGAGATAATGATGTAGGGCAACGTAGGTCAGAGGAGCTAATTAAAAGACAAGGGGTTGATAAGGGCATTTAGAGAAAAAGGCCATAACTTAATTGTGTCAGGGATATTGCCAAGAATTAAGTATGGGGATGAAATTATGAGTAGGTCACTAGGGCTAAATGCTAGGCTTAGGTTAATATGTATGGATGATCAGATAGGCTGGTTGGACTTGTGGGATCAGTTCAATGGGTGAAGATAACTTTTTTGGAATGAATGATTTACATTTAAATAGGGAAGGATCTGGCTTTTTGGAAGGGCTATTAACTCATCCATAAGGGAAGATTTAAACTAGGACTAAACAGTGAAGTGGGCCAGGGTAAACGAAGGGCAAAAAAAAGATGTAGAGAAAAGTTGAACATAGGAAATAAGTATAGAAGTAGTTATACAGATAGACTTACTTGTTACTATTGTAATGCTAGAAATATAAGAAATTAAATAGATGACCTTATGATACTGGTAGGAATGGAGAATTTTGATATAATGGGACTAACTGAAACATGGATAAATGTGGATGATTTTGATGAGAGAAATTTCTTTGACATACAGGGTTTTAGGTTATTTAATAAGGATAGAGTACTAAAGAGAGGGAAGGAGTGGCTTTATACGTAAAATGTGAATTACATCCTGTTGAGGATATCAATGATAATAGCAAGGAGATTTAATCCATTTGGATTTCTATTAGCACATATAAAGGGGAAGGGCTTTTAGTGGGAATTTATTACAGACCACCAGATGATACTGATAAAATTAGTGAGATTAAGATTTTAGCTGTTAATGAGGTCATAATTAATTATGGGCAATTTTGAGTTCATGTATATAGACTGGGAAATGCCAGAGTCAAACCATGAAGGAGAAAGAATTTTGGAAATTGTTCAAGATCATGTGACAACCTTCCAACAATAGGAGCTTGACACACCCTCCCCACCCATGTGACTCCCTCTAATTGATTCTACCAAACTATAACTTCGAGATTAGGCAGAATGGAAGAACCGATTTAAGTGAAGAGAAAGGGTGAGAAGTGTGAGAGGAGGTAAGTACCTACTGGAAATATATTTTCAGAATAGGAAAATAATAACATCTGATACAGTACATTACCTTCGCTCACATTTAGCTGGAATCCCACATAGGCAAAGAGACTTTAACCTAATTTAACTTTCAGTGATAAAATTGCTTCTTTTGATCACTGTTAACATACCCATACAGAATATATTGTATATCATGGATCAAGCCAAACTCTCAAAATAGAGAAGTCACTTCTCCCTACAGGTGTCAAGTAGAAGTTTTTGAAAATAAGGAGATTTCATATTTCTGTATGAAATATATTCACAAGGTTAACTCACTGTTTGATAAAGTACATGTTGTTTATTTTGGGATTAATTATTTCCATTACATGTGTGTGTGTATGGATATACATGAAATATGATGTATTAAATAATTTCAATTTCAAAACTTTTTGTTTCAGAATCTAAGAAAATTTTTTTCTACATCCACTGTTTTTATTTTTTAACTTAAATTTTGAATGCCAGTCATGATTTGTAGTCTTAGCAGGAAGTTTGTACTCATGCATATACACAGTGTTTAGAGGTCATTCTGATTCAAAACTCTAGGAAACCTTATGGCTTTACATTCTATAAATTTTCATCAGTCTTTTGTTTCTGGACAGAATTTCACTCAATTTTCTCTCAAGATCTTATGCCTAACCAATTGCTAAAGATATTGAGCAGATAAAGAATAGCGAATAACATTAAAGGCACCAATATACAAGTTTGATTTAACTGCGGGCTTAAAATGCAATTATCTTGTAAATTAATGAGTAAAGAAAATTTTAAATGATACTGCTTTATGGTACATACCTTGTGTAATTAATGACTATCTCCCACGACAAACAACAATAAAAAATACAGAATTCCACGTAACAACATTTTCCTCTTCTATAATCCATTCATAAATATAAATCCTATTTTTTAATTTTTTTTTTTGGACAGAAGCTTTCAATAATAATTGATGTATGTAATTGGTAATGAAATACTCTTGGTGGAGATATCAGATTGAGTGTGCTGATTGGCTTTTGCCTGTATTATGTATGTTGAGTAAGGAGAATATTGGAGCAATTTGACTGACTTATGTTGAGAATCTGATAACTAACTATTTGTTATTTTCACCTTCATCACGGGTGACCAATTGAAAATAAAGATGACTTGAATTCTGCCACAGAAGAAAATAAAAAGTGAAATTGGAACTTTGAATATGAAGTTTAAACATACTTTGCCTGGTATTTAGCATATTTTCTGTATAGAATGAAATAATACACTTACTATGTCTTTGTAGAAACTTCAATGCATCATCAAATCCTTGTTGGCACATCTTACTTAATATTTCTGGATGAGGAGGAAAGAGAATCCTTGTAAATCGATACAAGTTACTGGGAGTGATCTAGAAAACAGAAATAACATTCAGCTCCTTAGAACTTTTAGTGGAAAAAAAACAACAACATTAAATAGTAATACATGCTTCAATCAAATATGTACAGTTCATAGAAGTTATATACAGAGCTACCATATGAGCTGAAACAAGAAGTATATTTTTCATATTTGCAAACTGACATGAGACATGTGCCAGGTGAGCCCCCATCAATGAAGATAGACAAAAAAATACTGTATTACATAAGATGTTAATGCAAGCATGAGTTATAAACACAGTAGAAAAGACCACAAGATGTGGAAAAATAATGAAACAAATGTTCAAAAATGTAAAAACACACATATATAACAAAAAACATTTTTTTATTATTACTTTCAAAGTTTTGGGCAGAAGCCCTTCATCAGGCAGTATAAACCAGTATGGAACACGATTTACACTGTCTGATGAAGGGCTTCTGCCTGAAATGTTTGCAAGTAATAATAAAAAAATTTTTTGTCATATATATGTGTTTTAATATTTTTGAGAATTTTTTCAAGCATGAGATATGGCAACCTTTAGTATGATACTCAGAGATATTACAAACACAAAAAGATCAAGGACACAGAATACCAGTTACAGAAGTTTCATAGAGGAAGAGTAAAAGAATGAAAAAGTGAGGAGTAACAGTAGAGTGGCAAAGGATAATAATAATATATAAAGAAAGGAAAAAAAAGAGAGAACACGGGAAACACCCTCTGATAAATTTCCCTAAAAGAAACACCATCTCAAAAGCTTGACAGTCAGGAATAAAAAAAACCTCTTCTATGCTTGAGATTTAAGATAGCTTATTGTGATGAACCAATATAGTGTGATTTCTTTTGCATTTTGACTTCTGTTAACAAACAATCATCCATTATGATACAAATCACTAATTACATTATGAATAATATTCTATACCAAGGCCTAAGCCATCGCAATAAGTCAAACTCCAATGCTATAAATCAACAGTCTGTCATATGACAATGAATATCATTGAGTTTTGCCCCACACAATGTGTAAATTGTTGACTTGTTTTCTTGAAGTAAATGTATATAAAGAAAGTAATTGAAGTATTTCAGGTCCAAGAGTAACAGCTGTAATTCTTTGTTATTAGCTACCAATTACATATGCCTCTTGCTGATAAATTGGTTACAGTGGTGTGTAGGCTTTTAATTAACTATATTTGCCTCTTTACACATGAATGTCATTTGTCCACTCTAATACTGATGTAAGTAAATCACATTTTGTTTCATGTTTAATAAAGAGTTCCCACAAAACCACAATGTTTTTTAATGTACTGAAAAGGCTAATGTTGACATTCCAGTGCCACCAAGAGTAGTTACAAGATGAAATGTGTGCAATAAAAGGTTCAGAAGTCTTTCCAAAATCGGTCAGCCAAAAGAGGCAAAGAAAGAAGGTTTATAACCACTAATACTGTGTGTGTGAGTAGGTAAGTATTATTGGAAGTAAATTTTCAATTTTCGAAAATGATAACTTCCAAAACATATTTACCTCTTCTCACATTTATATCAGGTCATCCCACAAGTTCTGTCCGGATTTTAAATAAAGAAAACGAGTGATCAAATCTTACATTTTATTGAAATTTAATCATCAATGTAGTTTCCATGATTATCTATGACTTCTTTCCATCTACTTACAAGCTTTTTAATCCCACTACTAAAAACCTCTTTCGGTTTCGAAGAGAAGAACTCTGAAATGTCAGTTTCGACCTCCTCATGGCTTGTGTGAGTTAATCCATCCAAATGATTCTGTAAACTACGGAACAAATGGTAGTCTGAAGGAGCAAGGTTGGGAGAATAAGGTTCTTCAATCTTCTGGAACGTGATTTTTGCAGTGTGGGGTCGTGCATTGTCCTGATGAAACACCACTCCTCTTCGATTCACTAAAACAGGTCTTTTTTTCTTTAAAGCCGCATTCAAACACTCTAATTATAGGGCCATAGTCCCTATATCCTATGTTGGTGGCTAGGGCAGTTGGACCTCAATATATATATAAAATCAATACTCAAACAGTCCAGCAATACAAAATCAGAAGGAAGGGCTGCATTAAAAACAGCAAATCCAAACCTATGATAAATAGCATCCAAATGAACAAAACAAGCCCAAACAAAAGTCAAATAAAGATGTTACATTATCAAGAGAATCCCCAGAGCATAGGCTATAATGTTGGATATAAAATGTGCCCTGGGTTTTGGACGTGACTGCAGAAGTAGGACCGATACTGTGGTGGGGATACATCGTCTATCAGTCTTAACCTCCATTCGCTAGTCTCACATGAAGAAATTAAAAAAAATAATAATCAAAAGTAGAAATTAGGAGAGAAAGATGTAGATGCTCTAGCCCACAACATCCCACATCTATATCACCCTTCACATGCAGACAGTTGTAAGAAGGTGAGTGCTCTCCAAAGTAAAATAAATAAATAAAAGAAAGAAAGAAAAATTAAATAAGGTATTACTACTTGGGGGTAAGTAAGGTAAACTTACCTCCTGAGTTTGGCATTCCAGCTCCCATTGTAGTAGTAAAGCACTTATTAGTAGCACAGTAGACAAATTAAACTAGTATAAAATCTCAACCAACATATCTAAACTAACTAGTATAACTCACAACCACCATAAAGTCCATTGTAACTACCAATTTTCAGACTCTGCACAAGCCTTTATATGCAATAAGGTGTTCATTCTCATAAATGTAGTGCCAAGTTGTTTAAATAACCTTATTAAAACTAAAAATACATATTGGAAGCTAACAGCAAAATCTCCTTAATGTTTCCTTCTTGATATTGATTTAATATGTTCTTATATTTATCACAAAATATTTTAATAATTTTATTCAGAGTTTCTTTATTAAATCCATTGAATATTAATTTTTGCATTAATAGCGAAATATTGTAATTTATGACAGGTTTCACAAAATCTGAATAATTGCGAAGTTATAATACTTATGACAGAAGAGTATGGCATATTACTATTAAAAGAGGGTAAGCCATATACTGGAAAAGAAAATTTTTTTCTTTTATCAAAAACATTTAGATTGATATCATTATCAGTTATTTTAATTTCTATATCTAAATAATGTGCCTCTGCATTAGAAATTGAAGTATTTTCCATTTCTAATTCTACCAGATAAATAGTATTAATAAAATTATTTATCTCAGGATTATTTATACTAATTAAATCATCTATATACCTGTAAGTTAAGGCAAAGTTGTCCAGGTTTATACAATTTTCAATAAACCTATTCTCATAAAAATAAAGAAATAAATATGCAATACAAGTAGAATAGTTAGCTCCCATTGGAACTCCTATTACTTGTTTAAATACCTGGTTATTGAAAACACCAATTATTATAAATGCAGAAACTTAATATATCTTTTATATTTTTTGAAATAAATGTTTTTCTTTCAGTACTATGAAAGGATAACAGAACTGTTCTATTAATGAATTCATAATAGAAATTAAATCTTTCAAAGGAATTGTGGTATACAGTGTTGTAAAATCAAATGTTTAAATATTTTTTACTGCAAGTCATTAAATACTTTATGTTTAAAATTAATTACCAAATATGAAGTCTTAATTTGCAGTTTCTCTTTTTCAAAGCTTGATAAATCATTAACTTTTAATTGATATTTTATAATGTCTATAAGCAAATATTTATGCAAATTAATACTAGAATAAAAAATATTATCTAAATTATTACAAAATTCTAAAAAATCAGCCCATTCTTAGTTATTTTTTCTTTTACCCCTTATCCCTATTGCTCCGGGTATCCTTTACTGCATATGACACAAGATTTTAGTGTTTTACATTCAAAATTTTATTAAACTACTTTCTGTTTAAGTTATATCAATTAGAACAGCAAAAAATCTTAGCTAATAATCCATATTTTAACAGTATACAAGTTTCAAGTTCTTAATTCAACAAGGCAATATTTGAAAAAATCCTGAATTTCCACTAGTGCGACACATGTGACACTTTTGTCTTAGCATGTCATCATCCCTATTTTATCCATCACCCATCAAAAATGCTTGAAATTAAATATAAAACACTCTTTATAAAATCATTATTGCTCAAACAGACCATAATTTTTATAGCCTTCAATTTTTTTTGGTTACAGAGCTATCAAATAGAAAATCAGACCCCTCCTGCCACATCCTCTCTTTCACAATTCATTGATAGTTTTCTCTTACGTTTCATTATATATTACCTATAAACAATAGAAAGTCAAGGTTTTCATCTATCAAATGGCATATTGTATAACGTTGTGATCTGAACAGATAACCATCAATTACACTCGGGGTCGCAACATCGTTCCTGTGGGAAACTTAGCAACTAGCTTGGATGAATTTGTAACGGCTATTGTCGCATAGTTAGAAAGACAGAAAATTTTTTATAAGTAAGTGAATTTGTCAACTTTTTGAATGATATTAGTCTATATTCTTTGGTGTATTATTT